AGATTAAATATGCAGTGTATGAATGTAAGTTGAAATATCATGGTGTGTCTAGCGTAAGTGTTCTAAATTCTATACCGTGTTTTTCTTTTTGAACTACTGGTGATTCATGGATCTGTTTCATTTCTTGATAGTTTTGAAAGGGAAAGCAGGCTTGCCTTGTTCCTCTCCTTTTGTTTTCACGACTTCTGTTATTGGTGAATCTGCTTCGAGGGGTTTACTAGTATAATTAAAAAGGATTTTAAATAATAGTCAGCTGTATTAGATGAATTCTTAAGAAAGTATAACTAATAATGCAAACGAATGAACGTCAATAATCTCAATTGTTGATGCATTTGTTGTGAAACATTTTTAAGGTCTACAGCTGTTGATCAACTTAATGTGTGCGTACTGCATTGTTTGGTTGAAGAATTTAAAAGGATCAAGCAAGTCATTCTCAATAGATGAAAGCTATCTTGAAAACCGTATAGAGCCCCTAATCCGAATTAATTAGGATTGTTGGTAACAGTTGCGTACATTATGTAGCATCTCTTCTCATCATGCATTTGACATTTTGCTAGATGTTGCTTCAGTTTACTTCTTTGTTACTGTTACTCTCTGCTCTTAATTTTGGTTTGCTTTCATTGTTTTCTTGTTTTGGATTGCACTCAGAAGGAAAGTAGGCCTTCCCTTTTCCTCAGTTTTGCTTTCATGGTGATTAATTGTTTTGTAAGTGAAGTTAAATCAGAGTTGGGTTTCCTTCTTTATGTAATGCCTCTGCAATTCAATGTAGTAGGGTTTTTGTTACTTAAATTAGTTGCTGGCACTTGCTTAGCTGTTTGTTATTTCTTTCTTTATTGGAACAGAATATATATGAAAATAAGTCAATGAAAGTTCGGGTGGTTTTCATGGGGATATTATACCCAAATAACTACTTATGATCTGATGAGAAATTTTATAATAGAAATGAACTGTGCTTGTTAACTGATGATAAAAATGTCTGGCCAAGAAAAAACTGATGATAAAAGAATGTCATAAAATTATAATTTTGGAACTTATTCAAACTGGTAAAGTGACAGAGATGCTATCAATGATGGACCATCCATGTACATAATGGAATTGACAGCTTGTTTGGTGGCATTTATAAGGTTTATTAATTAATGTTATAGATGGTTGGAGTTTGAAGAACAAGGGGGTTTTTTTTTTTTGGGGAAGTTGGAAGATTCTTTTCTATTGGACATGAATAGCATTTTGCCTATAGCGTTAGATACACCATTAATTGAGATGACCTGTCTTCTTTGATGATGTTTACTAGAGTGCAATTTCTTAAGCCCATTTGGTATAAAAATAAAAAATAGACTCCGTTTCTAACGCAAAGAAAATGAAATATGCAATGTTTACTATGTCATTCGGATCGTTATCAACAGTGGCTTTTTTAATTCTTCTTTTTCTACCCATGGCAATGAGTGTCATTTTTTGCTTCATTCCCTCTCTATACGTAGCATTTGATATACCAAAGAGCTCCAAAGTGTTTGCTGTAATTTTTCTTTTTCAAAAATAGGAACAAGTGCCAAAGCACCCCCTAAAAATTAAAGAACTGAATCAGTTTGGCTTAGACTGCCTTCTAAGTAGAAAGAATAAGCATACCCAAGAATTTCTTTGCTGATAATTAACCCTTGATTTGCAGAATCGTTATTTAATGTGCTTATGATGATGAAACATCTATCAAAACAATTCTCAAGATCTCCCCCCCCCCTTTGGTTTTAAATAAGACTTCATTTTGAGGCCTGTATGGTTTGCCTTGCCATGTCATCTTTGATGCGACTTGAAACATTATGTAGTTACTTACTCTTCATTTAATGAATTGTTGTGTTGAAGTTCACGAGTTTCTGACTCTTGCATGAACGACCCTGCAGTTCATTGTGATACCACAGTGGCAAGAATGTTGGTGGGGAATAAGTGTGACCTGGAGAATATCAGAGAGGTTAGCATAGAGGATGGCAAAGGCCTCGCAGAAGCAGAAGGCTTGTTCTTCATGGAGACATCTGCACTTGATTCTACCAATGTTCAAACAGCTTTCGAGATTGTTATCAGGGAAATCTACAACAATATCAGCCGGAAAGTGTTGAACTCTGATTCTTACAAGGCCGAACTGTCTGTGAATCGAGTCAACCTCGCTAACGGGGCGGGATCAAAGCAAGGCCGGCTGAATTTTTCATGCTGTTCTTCATGATCCTTGTTCCAGACTTGGTTTTGTTGCTGCCGTGGATATTTTCGGTGTAGCCTTCCTTTACTTTTCCTTGATAGTATGAAATCTCCTCATCCTCTGTTGTGCCCCCCCAAAACAAAGGAGGTCAATATTTTTTCTAAAGGTTCACATATTGCAAAGCATGTTATTCATTTTCAATTTACTAGACCTTCTTCCTTAATTCTTGAGGCCCTTGATCCTGATGTGACTGAGACGGTACAAAAAAGGAGTATACTCTTCCTTATATCCATATGACCAAAAGCCTATTTGGACGAGTTTCATATGATTTCTCCCTGCCACCCTTGGTTTCCATCCATTTCTTGGATGGGATGATTAAATTTAGATGGTTTAGGCGTAATATTCTATAAAATGATTTTTTTTTTCACTTGCTTTATAATGCATATTTAAATTGTTCAAGTTGAATGCATGCTTGTTTAACTTTAAAAGAAAATGAAAAAATGATGTTGGTAAACCAAACATGAAACAACCATCACTTGCTTAAATCCTATTTTGATCAACTACTTGGATTAGCTTTTAGAAATAATTACTTAAAAAGTTAATTTAAGTGGTTAGTCAAAATAAAGGAAAATCATTTTTTTTCTTGTTAATTTGAGATATGGTTGTTTCATGTTATCTTATAAGAGCCACATTTTTCAAATAAACACATCCTAAATTTGAACAGTTTGGATTATTTATTTTATTGTTTTAAATTTTTAATAACCTTTTATAAAATATTAAAAATGACTAGTTTAAATATAAGAAAATAGTTTAAATGAGAAGTGGTGAATTCTAAATTTAATTTGTGACGACAGGCTTTGTGGTTAAGGCTAATTAGGAACGGAAAGAAAATCAAACTCAGATGAGCTTGGCTTTTATTTGTTATTTCAAACAAATATTGAGCTTTTAATTATTTTAGCTAGTTCAACATTTTAATTAAGTAATTATAATTTTTGACAAATCTCACATCTAAATCAACTGAGAGCCTGTTTGGTTAAGTGGTGGGATATCAAATAAGCCCGTTTAAATTCAAATAAGTGCTTATGAAGCATGTTTAGGGTGTTTGGATGATTTTTATAAAATCCCGATGAATCATGATTTTAACCTTCCACCGCACTTTTAGGATAAGCAATAAGAAGTAGCTTTTGCGTTTGAAAAATCCCGATGAATTTTCAGTAACTAAATTTTCTCTAATCTACCCCTCATTCTAATAGTAATTATTTTAATTTTTTTTATATTTTCATTCATCTCTTATTTATATGGGGTCTTTTATTTAATATTTGTACTACACATAAATTTTGTAAGTAATTTTAAATAATAATAATTTTAACATAAAAATAATATTTAAATATTCATGTCATTTATTAAATTATATTTAATAAAATTTAATATTTAATAAAATTTATTATTAAATATAATAATTATGAAAATGTAAACAACTTTATTAACTTCATGTCCTTTTTAGTAATTATACACCCATAAGTGATTTTAATAAATAAAAACCAAATATAATAACAATTCTTAAAATCACTTATAAAAAAAATATCCAAACATAAATCACGATTAACTAGTGTCACTTATAGCCAGTATCATTTATAAAATTCACGATTATCTAAAATCACAGTTATTCACCGCTAATCCAAACGGGCACTGAACAGTTATAATTCATTTTAAATGATATTCTTGTGTTTAATATTGAAAAAATTGTAGACCCTTGAGCTTGGTTTACTTTTACAACGTGTGTGTATACATCTACATAAGTGTTTGTCATCAAACACTTTATTAAAAATATTATATTCATTTTCTTAACAACTTAATACCACATTATTAGATGGTCCAAAAGAGTTCCTTTTCCACCCTATGCCATCTTATGTTGACCTGTGATCTTAATAGTAAATAATTAGTTCAATTATATCCTTAATATAGAAATTATACAACCAATTTGATGATATTAAAAAATTAGTTATTTGTCACAAATATGTGTTAGTCTTCTTAAACTAATTTGAAAATATTAAAACAATTAATTAAGTTAATTATTTGTCACAAATGCAGTCTTCTTAAAATATCCTCTCCAATCACACTTAACAGAAGTATTTTGAGAAAGATTAGGAACAAAATAGATTAAGATATTATATTTAGGATCAAATCTAACCCTTCCAGCTAGCTCTTATATTAAGAACAGGAGATATCATTTTTTTTTTGGGGTTTTGACGTGGAAATTTGTATCAAGACTAACTTTATTTCTGCAATTAAGTGAATGCTACCACTTTAAGAAATAAGTTAAATGACCCACGTGATTGTGGGAAGCTTCAGGGAAGCTTGATTTGTATCTCAATCTTGTAGGCTTAGTCCCCAAGGCTCCCTCATTCCAGGTTTAATTCTGCAGATCTAAGCTTTTCTTTACTGCCTCGGAAGGTTGCAATAAAGCTATCAATACTCTGTAGCTCCCATCCTCAAACAAGAGGAAAAGAAGAAAATTTGTGAAATACAGATTATACTTCAATGCGCTCAAATTTAATCATAAGGCAAACATAACCTAGCTCAAATCATAACAGAAGCTTTGCAGGTCGCTGATTGGATGACAGAGTTTGCTCTGCAGCTGCAAATTGGTTTGCATTTTTTTTTTGGTTGGTTGCTCGGAATATCCTCCCACCCGCATAATAAAAGACTAATCTCTTACTGTTTGCATGTTTTTTATATAAACGGAAAACACGTGTGCTATTGATATAATCAAAAAATATTTTTTTAACCTCATTAAATATCCATCTTACACGTAACATCCAAGAAAAGAATGAAATTCTAATAACATGAGCACCTGCACATAACCTATACAACCTAATTTCTATTGCGCGATACTAAAAGCATAGTTTCAATCGTAAAAGAGGAGAGGAGTTGAAAATTGGACCCTCTACAATCATATAAAGTCATACATTCAAGGAGAAAGTGACATTAAAAGAGTGTCTGTGGATGACATGTACCTCTGTTCAAACTCATTCTATTTCATCTCTATCTCTCTCTGAATGCATCATATGTAATCACCTTATAAGTGTAAAGGATTTGAATTGGTCCTTACGGTTTCCTCAAGGCAGATGCTGCGCCCATTACAATGGCCATCACAATGCCGATACCAGCCCCTATTGATGCGCCCACTGCTGCGGAATTCAACGAATTTGCCTTCGCTGTGGCATCTTTACTTGCATCGATTGACATTGGATGTTCTCGTGCCAACTCCATCATTAGTCTATCTCTAGCAAGTTCCTGTAATAAAGGCATTAAAAATGAAATTACTATTATCCATGTTTGTTATAAATTTTGTTCTATCAAATGAACAAGTAAACCAATTCGCTTATGGAAAACCCTTCACAGCTAGCTCTTCCTGGAGCTGACAACCACCAATGCTGATACTGATTGATAGACACGTAAGAGGGATGGGGAAACCTCCTAGGAGAACCAATCCACTTGAATATCACATGAAGCATCACATATTACTCAATGTGAAAGTTCAACTAGATGTCACATATTATGTTGGTTCACATAAGAAAGCTATAAATTTCATGCTCCTAATTTGAATTTACATCACACCCCGCTTATTGACTTTGCACATTCAAACTTGAATCTTTCGACGAAATTTCTAAGAAGAAGCTTCACTTAAACCTCAATTTGACTGCATTAGACCTTTCGATTGTGAACTACTCAATGACTGACCAGTTTTTGCAGCTTTTGTTTGCATGTCCTTTCCTAATTTTTTGTTTCAGATATAGGAAGAAATATAAACAAATAAAGTAAAATGTCATGTACATGTCAAAATAAGAATAATTAATTGAGAACAAACGAGATCTGATACTATGACAAAAGATTCTCACCTGAAATGAAGCCTCTTCGTGATTATGTAGAACGCTGTGGACTCGCTGACAGAGAGAGTTAACACCTTCAACTGGAAAAACAATTTCCTTTCTCCGGAAAGGCCTCCTAACAACATTAATAGGAGCAAATAAAAGCTTTTGAACACCAATTCTTCTGTTGAGTTTTTCATTGCTCACATGTGGCGACAAGGAAGCCTCAGAAACAGTAGCCATAACATATGGACTGGAATTTAAAACTTCAGTTGTGCTTGGAGATGCTTGGTATGCTTTTAAAACTGCTTCAATTGCAGCCTTTTGGTGGTGTGCACTAACAGAGAATTTGTTTGTTATTGCAAGAACCCAAGGAATCCCAAGAGATTTAGCCTCATCCAGAAACAGGGACAGGACAGGCTTTTGTTCAGGCACACTGGAAGTATTGTATCGAGGTATGGTATGTGATAGATTATGAACAAAAACAATCAAATCTGTCTTCGAACTCAGATCACGGATTCCCAACCAGAGTTCATCCTTGAAGCGAGAACTTTCTTTATTCAGCTCCTGCAAAACAATGGGATTGCAAGTGAGTGAGTGTTGCCATACACAAACAAAGAAACCAGTTGAAGAGATGGCTGAAAAGTTGATCCATAGACTGGCCTTGCAACTTATCTCTTCATTGACAATAAATTGTACATATATAACTTAGGAACTTAAATACAACCAACCACATAACATGCACATCATACCAGAGATGCATCAGAATATCTTTGCAAAAACTGTTATCAGAGAGAAAGGAGAGAACGAACATCTCAAAAGGCAAGTTTTGGGGAAAAAAACAATTTTGAAAGTTAAGGCTTCTGAATTAGGAGTGTTATAGGATGAGTATCAGCATACACGAGTTTTAGAGTTTATTATTGTCCAAGTGTTTCTAAGTTATTTCTCGAGATATATAGCACATAGGATATTGCATGTTGGAGGAAATTTGGTCTCTTGGAAAGCAAGAAACAAGATGTGGTTGCAGGGTCTTGCACAGAACCTAAAATCATGCCATGTCCTAGCAAAACATCTGAGCTTATTTGGCTAAAGCAATATCGTCTGGAGTTGAAGTTCGGAAGTATTGATGAGATGGACTTGGTTTTTGACAACCAGGCAGCAACGTATATTGCTTCTAATCCAGTGATTCATGAGAGGACCAAATATATTGAAGTTAAATTATCACTTCAATAAGAGAAAATATTCAATCCGGACATCTTGTTACCAAAATTATAACTCAAATGATCAACAAGCAAATTTACTTCCTCTCTTAGAGGCCCTCCAATTAACTATGTGTAACAAGCTTGGTGCAAATCACCTTTAGATACTCCAAATTGAAAGGGAGTGTTAGAATAGCAGTACTAGTATACGGTCTAGTATAGCCTCTAGGGTTTAAGTAGTACATTGCGCTGCACTGTACCTGTCCCTTTTCACATTTTTCGCCCCCTATATATGGACGTGTAGAGGAGGGAACAAACAAAACTTAAATTCA